CCCATGTCCTCTTGTTGCCCAGAGGCCCAGAGGCGTCCAGATCAAACTCTGGATCTACTCCCACCTTCCCTGCACTCGCCGGGCTCCAGCTTCATGCCGCCCCGAATTCCCCGTGTGTCCGGGTGTCATCGGTTGGGCAGATTTTGATGGGCAGCCTTTCCCACAGGCAACCGCGCCTTGAACAGGGACTCTGGGAGCCCAAAGCAATGAGTCTTGGGTCAGTGTCCTGCTTCCCTTGAGTGGCAGGGGAGGGGTGAGCAGGGTGGGGCAGAATGAGACCAGAGCCAGCCTCATTGAGAGAAGGATCTCAGGCTGGGAAAATGGGAACCGCTTGGATTCTGTCCTTCCTTCTGTGGAGGAGCAAAGTGTGGTTCTGTCTGTCCGTGGCCTCTGCCCTCCAGAGACAGGATTTTCCTCCAGTTTCATAGATGTGGAAACTGACCACCAAAGCGCCAAGCCCAGAGGCAGAGTTGGGCCCGGAATCCTAGCCCACCGGCCCCTGCTCCTCGAGGATCAACACCAAAGGAGCCGGGAGTGGGCAGAGCCCTGTGTGCTTGTGGCGGGTGGAGGCCGCCAGCCCACGCGGGCCAGCTCTGCAGGGAGGGCGCAGAGGCCAGGGCCAGGGCCAGGGCCAGGGCAAGGGCAAGGGGAGGGCGGCAAGCGAGAGCCAGCTGTGAAGAGTCCGGTGAAACACGAATGACTCATGCGGGTGGCTCTGCTCCTCAGTCCAGCCCACATTCCCGGGTCTCTGTTCCCGACCCGCCTGGGCCTGGCCTTAAAGGGCCAGCTCCTCCGTGCAGGAGCGGGGGCCACCCTGCTGCGCTCCCCACGCCTCGGTCACCCTGGTCCCTGTGGAGTTGCTCCCAGTCCCTGGCTGTGGGCGAAAGGATGGCCCCCTGCAGGGTTTAGGGCTTTATCGGGTCCACTCCTCCCACTATAAGGGAGGGCCCTCGGGTCATTTCATCCATCCCCCTGCCTCTGAGCAGGGCTGCACCTAAACGGGCCCGCAAGGATAGAGAAACCCGTTCCCTGCTTTTACAGACGTTGCAATGAAAGGGCCCCTCTCCAGGCCCCCAGCTCCAGGGCCTCTGCCCGCCTTTCCACGCGCCGGCCCGGGGCTGCAGGTGGCGCCGGACGCCCCGCCCTTCTCGTCTCCCACCCCACGTGGTTCCACTTCAGCTCTGGCTGATTCTTGAGCTCTGGCTCGACACGCGTGTTTGGAGGGTTTCAGGTCGGCCCATCCGGACTCGCGGGCGAGGCTCCCGTCCCGGGCCTCGGAGGGGTCACACCAACCCCGTCCTGCGCGTGGCTTCCCGGGGCGGAGACACCGTCCGGCGGCCGCGGTCCCGCCGCTTCCCCGGACCCTGCGCGCCACCGTGTGGACACCCGGGGAACTGGCGCCCGCGGGGCCGAGACCCCGCCCAGCACCCGCAGTTCAAGGCGGTCCGGAGTCGGCCTCAGAGAGAGGAAAGGGGGAGGCGCAGCCCCTGAACACACTGCGAGCCTCACATTCTCTGCGAAACAATGGCTTTTAGATGAATTTAACAACAAAAGCCAACCCGCTCTGTTAAAACTTACAAATAGCAATACTTTCCATAGAGGTTTGGGAAGACCTGTGTGGCCCAAGTGCCCACCCCTTCCACCCACTGCCGCCTCTTCGCCCACTAACTGGTCAGTGCTCAACACGTCCCACTGGAGGTCTGGGTTTAAGGTTTTGTTCACTGTTAACAAATTTGGGGGGAAGGGGCTCTGTCTTCCTCTAAGCTAGACCAGGAACGAGGAGAAAGGGCAAAGCTTGCTGCTACGGGACAAACTGGAGGATGGGGAAGAGAGCGGAGGGGTGGCACAGGCATGGGGCAGGGAGGCCAGGGGGCACAGCTGAGCCTGGGCAGAGGCACTTTGAATTTGGGGGCAGGGGGTGAGACTCTCTTGCCTAATGAGTGCTCTTGGGGACCGAGGACAAATCTTCACCAAACGGGCTATGGCCACAGGTTGCAGCCTTGGTGCTGACACCGACCATGGGCCTTTGTGGAGTGTTGGCCCTGGGATCCCTGGCCCTAACCAACCAGGCCAGCTGGCCCTAGACAAGCCGGCCTTGCTTGAACTGGATTTCCAAAGGCCCTGAATGCTGTGTGTGGCCTCCGAAGTCCACACAGCTCCTCACTCACCCTCTGTCCCTACCTCCTCCAACCTCACTGGCTGCCCCCAGCACCAGCTGAAACCCCGGCCCCAGCAAAATCAAACACAAACGAAGACAGGGGAGAGAGAGTGAGCACTCCATTCCTTTCGTGCCTACGGACGTTTTCCTTATTTTTGTGGGCCCCGGACCCCAGCCTGATTTTGGTGGCCGTCAAAAGGAGCTTGCCAGGGCCTGTTGCGAGCAGCCTGTGGCTCAGTGCTTACCCAGGATCCCGGGGAGGGGCAGCAACTATGCCTTGTTCGGCATTGGGGTCCTCACAGCCCCAAGCACCGCCTGGCATGTACACTCAATCTATTGAATGAATGCTACCCGCTGGTCTCCGTTCTGATCTCCCAGGGAAAGTGTTTAAATTGCTCCACTGGCCAAAGTGCACACTCCTGATTACCCTCGGCGAGTCCTGCCCCAACCAGAAGTTGAGGACACTTGGAATCTTGATAATGAACCACCCAGGTGCAGGGAACTGCCCCGTGTAGGAAGCTGGTGGCCTGGAGTGTGGTCAAAGAGCCACTCCTGTGTGCTTGATCCTCCAGTGACTGGTCCACAGAGTCAGAGAGGGGCAGCCTGCGGGGCATAGGCTGCCAGGGGGGATTCCATCAGAGCAGGTGCTGTTAGCACCCATGACCACTTGTGCCTCTTGAACGTGTCTGTGCGTGCACACCCTCCTGGCAAACAGAGCAAAGAGCCAGGAGCTGGGAAAGGAAGCGAGAAGAGCAGGGTGGAGACATTAGGCTGAGCTTTGAAGGCAAACTTTAGGAGACGGACCGGGGAAGAGAGGCCCCCTTCTGTTGGACTAGGAGAGGACTGGTCCAATCTGTAGCCAGGCATGTGGATTAGAGCTGGGTCTCCAAAGACGAGTGCCCAAGACCATATTGTAGGATAAGAAAATTAAACTTCTATTTATATTGAATGTTATGTAATCCTCTCAAATGTTTCTTTTTACTATATATATTAGTGCCATAAAAATATGTATAATTGATAATGGAAGAATGTACATGTATTGAGGATGCATGGCCAAAACAGTTTTTAATGCTGAGATGACACTATCAAGAAAGTCTGGAGACCACTGCATTTCAGAGTTTTGTTTTTGTTTTGAGACAAAGCTGTCGCCCAGGCTGGAGTGCAACGGCGCAATCTCCGCTCACTGCAACCTCCGCCTCCTGGTTCAAGTGATTCTCCTGCCTCAGCGTCCTGAGTAGCTGGGATTACAGGCATGTGCCACTACACCCAGCTAATTTTTTTGTATTTTTAGTAGAGACGGGATTTTGCCATGTTGGCCAGGCTAGTCTCAAATTCCTGACCTCAAGTCATCCACCTGCCTTGGCCTCTCAAAGTGCTGGAATTACGGGCATGAGCCATCGCACCCGGCCTCATTGCAGGGTATCCTCATAGAATCCAAAGGTTCTGAGAGATAGGATAAATCAGTTAGCCTATGTGTAAATCAACTGTCCTCTGTGTAACTCCCTGAGGTACAGAGAAGTGAAGCGACTTACTGGGGTTGCATGAAGTACAAGGAACATTCCAGACCCTCTGAGACCTGCCCATCCACTCATCCACGTATCCATCCATCCATCCACCCACCAATCTCTCCATCCATCCCTTAATCCATGAAGCTTTATACTTCAAAATCAAATGTAAATTATGCTTCAATAAATCCTAGCCAAAAAAATTAAAAACAAATTAAGAGTGTTTAACTAGTATGCATCACTGTGCATATAAGGTATGCATCCATCTATCCATTCATCTGTCCTCACTTAGCGGGTATCTGTCCTGTCGTGGTGATCTGCTGGGTCATCTTCCCTACCTCCAGGCTGTAGCATCTTTCAAAGTCCTCCCTTCCTTCCTTTCTCACCTTGTTCCACTTCAGTTCCTTTTCACTCTGATCCTAAATCAAGACACTAACTTTTAAATGACTCTCCCTGCTTCTAGCCCTTCCTGGCCCAATCTGTTCCAAGCAGCACTGCTAAATCAATTTTCCAAGTACTCTTGAGTGACTGCAGATTGCCCTTGGCCATGGCGCCCAGTCTGAATTTCTTGGCCGAACCCAGAGGCCCACAGCATATGCCCTATATTGTGATTCTTTTGGAGTTAGTGGCTTCTTGAGAAGCTTTAGTTTACACTTACAAAATCAAATCGAATGTAAATTATGCTTCAATAAATCCTAGCCAAAGGTAATAATTAAAATGAATTAAGAGTGTTTAACTAGTATGCATTACTGTGTGTACACACTCATGCATGCATGTGTATGCTGACAGCGTGTGCCCGAGCAGGGCGGCAGCTCCAGTGCTCCTGAGGGATGGAAATCCAGCCACGACCAGCTGGTGAGCTGTGCACCCTGCCTTGGGGGCCACGGCGTTATGGAGAGTAGGTACCTTTCTCTATCTCACCCAAAGCCACCAAGCTCCTTTTATTGTCTTCTCAGGTGCTTTCCTCTCAAAGGAAAAGAAAACAGCCCAAAGCTGAGGCCTGGCCCAGGTAAAATAGCGAATAGGATGAGGAAGGTGCATTTTACCAGCAGCAGAGAACCCTCTCCGCTTTCTCCAGCCAGGTGTGCGAAGGTGTGAGGGAAGGGGCGACTCTCCAGGAAATATCAACTGCAACAAGACATCATTCCAGAGTGCAGAGGTCCTTAACGGGTTTTCTAGTCCAACCCTTAATTTTATCAGGCCCTGAAACTGAGAAGGGTGTCACTTGCCCTGAGCTTCCCACCTGGTTTGGAAAGAGCTTTAAAACCTCTCTCCTACCTGTCAACTTCTTCCCTTCCAGAGCCCCCCTTGGTAAGTCTGTGCTCTCTCCCCTACAGCCTGGAAGCTCCGACCCCAGGAGGAGCCAGCCCATCAACCTGAACCATTACGCCACCAAGAAGAGCGTGGCGGAGAGCATGCTGGACGTGGCCCTGTTCATGTCCAACGCCATGCGGCTGAAGGCAGTGCTGGAGCAGGGACCGTCCTCTCACTACTACATCACCCTGGTCACCCTCCTCAGCCTCTCTCTGCTCCTGCAGGTGGCCATCGGCGTCCTGCTCGTGGTCATCGGTGAGGAGCCCAGCCCGCAGTCAGACCTTCTGCCTTGGCACCTGCGGCCGGCAGAAAGGCCCCCCGTGTTCCCTGGGCCACCCTGCATTGGCGCATGCAGCTTTGCAACCACACACTGACCTGCAGTGCGCCCTCTGCTAACACAGGCCCAAAGAACAACTTCCTGTCCTATCTCCTGGTATCCCACGCCACCCCACAAGGGCAGGCGCCCTGTCCTATCTCCTGGTATCCCCCCACCCACAGGCACGCCCTGCCTATCTCCGTATCCCACGCCACCCCACAAGGGCAGGCGCCCTGTCCTATCTCCTGGTATCCCACGCCACCCCACAAGGGCAGGCGCCCTGTCCTATCTCCTGTATCCCACGCCACCCCACAAGGGCAGGCGCCCTGTCCTATCTCCTGTATCCCACGCCACCCCACAAGGGCAGGCGCCCTGTCCTATCTCCTGGTATCCCACGCCACCCCACAAGGGCAGGCGCCCTGTCCTATCTCCTGGTATCCTGCGCCACCCCACAAGGGCAGGCGCCCTGTCCTATCTCCTGTATCCCACGGAGCAGACACTCCACAGCACCTGCCGAGTGACTGTGCCAGCACCTTGCTAACTGCTCACTCACCCACTCGCTCGCCCGCTTCTTCCTTGAGCACTCATCCCACGCGTAGAGGACCCAGCTTAAGTTCACAAATTCTGGTGGGATGAAGCACACGAGGGTGCCCCATGTGCTGGTTGGCGAGGGCAGAGGCATTTTGGCCCAATTTCGACCACCTTCCTGGATTTCTGCCGCATGGGTTTCTGAAGGGCCCCTCTCTCCAAACTCTGGTGGGCGTTGTGGGGGCAGCTCCGTGCTTTGGCCCCATCTCTGACCCTTCCCCCTACTCCACTTCCCTGCAGCACGGCTGAACCTGAATGAGGTAGAAAAGCAGTGGCGACTCAACCAGCTCAACAACGTGGCCACCGTCTTGGTCTTCTTCACCGTGGTCATCAATGTTTTCATTACAGCCTTCGGGGCACACAAGACAGGCTTCCTGACTGCCAGGGCCTCAAGAAATCCTCTCAATACAACCCGGGACCCAGGTGAGGGAGGATGGGGAACCCAGCTTCAGGGGCTCCCCAAGCGGCCCTTCTCTCCCCTCTGGGGCTTTCGGGCAAGAAACAGATCCCCTTGCCAAACAAAGGGGGAAGGCCTGTAGCTCCAAGAGCAAGGAGGGGATTTGCAAGAGCCTGGCCTCGGCAAGGCCTGCACAAAGCCCCATTGCTGTGTTAACGGGCGGCTCTCGGTTCTTGGCTCAGGGTCTCCCACGGTCTGGGACAGGGTGGAGGCGATGCCATTAGTGGTTAACTCTGCCCCTCCGGCGAAAGGAAAGGTGGAGATGGGGAATTTCTCCCTGCCATTGTCTAGCAGCCTTTGCTACTGACTGTGGTCCCTGGGCCAGCGGCATCCACAAACCACTCAGAAGCTTGCTGGAAAGGCAGCATCTCAGGCTGTGCTCCAGATGGGCTGCAGGCACGTGCATGAGGAAGGTGGCCAGGTGCACCCTGGGCACGCTGAAGGTTGAGGGGCACCGATCTGGCCTGCCCTCCTCATTGCCTCTTCTCTGCTTCCCCAACAGGTACTGGGCCTGGAACTCCTACCTCCTTCCTCCGTGATCTGCCAGGCTCATGGGCACTGTCCACAGCCCAGGAGAGCTTCTGAAAGGACGGTAGAGCTGCCCTTGCTCCCTACCCACAGCACCTGAGTTAAAAAGTGATTTTTTTGTTATTGGTCTGAGGGATTTCCATCTTAGTCTGGAGTCCTGAGCTCAGATGCAGGTACTGCCAGCCATACCTCCCTGGTAGCAACCCTGGACCTAAGGCATGTCTGTCAAAGGCCAAGTCTGCCCAGCTTAAGGACTCTGGTTCTGACTCTACCCTACTGCTCTAGGCCTCAGTTTTCCCTTTCTGTAAAATGGAATCTATATCTATAAAGGTTTCTTCAAATCTACTCTCGAGTCCACGTATTTGTCTAGTCCTGCAGGCTTAGGCATCCAGGCTGGTCTCCCTCTGTGCCTTGGAGAGGGCTGAAGAGCGTAAACCCCAGGGCTGGAGGGTGGGAAGGCTTTTAAATTACTCCCTCCTCTGTGGGTTCTGCTCGGAGCCACAGTGTTCCTGGCCCAGATGGGCTTATTGTCATCTGCCGCGTCCGCTGTAGATGAGTCCATTGCAGATGGACGCACACATGCACAATCTTCTCCATGAACCTGCTGTAAGCTATTCTCGCTTTCAGTCACAGCTTCCCTTAGGCATGTGTTTAAGGACTGCAAACTCACTTTAACCTTTGCCTGGGCCAAATGTAATAAGGAAGGTAGATCTGCACCTGCAAAGCATTAGCAGAGCACTGCCAGCTCAAACAGAAATGATTTTTAGACAGTCTGCCGGTTTAGAAGCAGCCGTTCCTTGGCTTCTCTCGACTGCTCACCGAACCATTCTGGCTTTATATCTAGCCTTCTCCACCCAGGGCAGCCATAGCTTTTCTCAGCTAAAACCACCAGCCTCCATCAATCTTCCGAACAGAAAATGCCTGGTCTGTTACACGGTGGGCTGCTCAGACAGGAACAACGTTGTCTTCTTCCTGAGTAAACCACAGTGCAGAGAAGGCCATCCCCACACGGCAGGCACCACACTTGTTGTAAGGGTGGAGGGTGGTGTAGGAGGGTCCTTGGCACACTCACCTGGGCCCCTCAGCCCAATCCTTTACATCCGTGAAGAGCAACAGGAAAAGACAAGCACTTATTTTTTTTCTAAGAAGTTGCTGTATTTAATGCTTCCCCTCCCACCATCCCACACCCTCCCCTACCCAAGACATTTCTCTAGAAAGTAGGGGCCTTGCCCGGCCCTTCCTCTTAAGGCAGATGGTGTGGAGGTAACAAACATCAAATGCAAGGCACCGGCCCAGGGTGCAGGGGTGGAGGGCAGGGTAGTAGGCTGGGCTGGCTCCTGGCCGTTGGAAGTGAAGCAGGCGGGCAGTTTGGGCTGGTTCCAGCCTTCCAGTGCAATGCCCGAGGACAAGAGTGGTCCCAGAAAGAAACTGGCAGCCCCACTGGCCAACTGCAGCCCTAGCCTATGCCCCGTGATCCTTCTCCAGCGGCCAGTCGGCCTCAGCAGGGCACAGAAAACGCCACAGCCCAGGGAGCAGGTATGGCCTTCCTAAGCCACAACCTGTAACTCAAAAGTCTTGGTCCTTCATGATTCCTTAAAGGAGGCAGGGATTCTCCCCGATCCCCAAAGGGTTCTCCACGGGCTCCATTCTCCCATTGCCAGACTCGAGCTCTCGGGGAATGCAGAGCCCGCTGGGCAGACCCTGCAGCTCCAGTGCTGTGGTTTGAACTGCCACAGCCTGGAGCGGGGGCTCCGTGGCCTGGTGGTCTGGGCCCCGCCACCCCTCCCCAAGCCCTGTGCTCACCTCCCTAAACAGACTCTGGAGTTCAAGATCCAGCGTCCGATGCACCATGGACAAATTCACAGCAGTGGCGGAGGCAGCAGCAGCAACAGGAAAACCCCCAGCCACAAAAGCACCGGGGGTTATTAGTGCAAGAGAAGTACAAGGTCACCAGGTGACAGAAAGGGTGGCATCGGCTAAAAAGGCCAAGGGCTATTTTCCCTGAAACCGCCCCACCCTTCAGTTCCTCCTGCCCCCACTCCTCTCCCTGCTTCCAGGGGATATCTCAGGGCAGTGTCCTCACCTCCCCAAACCTCTCATCCTGCACCCTTCTCATCCTGTGCCCTTCTCATCCTGTGCCCTTCTCATCCTGCACCCTGGTCCCTGCTCCAGGGTTTCACCCCCATACACCCTTTCCTCTTCTTCCACGCAAGGCCGGGGGGCCAGGGCTCTCCCTGCAGAAGGGCAGGTCTGCAGCGGAGCTGGACTGTGAGGCTCATGGCTTCCACTTCCCTTTTCATCCCTTTCTGTCCAGCCCCCACCCGCTTCTGGTCTAAGGAAATTGACAGATTATGTCCCCATCCTCTTTACCTCGTCTCCACGTCCTCTCTGGAGGCCTCACCCACAGGCACGCCGGGAGGAGAAAGGGCGTCTCTCCCCTGCCTTCGTCACCTGCCTGTTCTGCAGGCCTGAATGTCCAGTGCCAGGGAATGGCAAGCCCATTGCCCACCAGCTCCCCACCTCCCAATGCCCAAGCGCCAGAAACAGCCCGTTCTGTGCTTCTGGTCTGAAGTGAGCCATCCGGAGAAGGTTAATGCCCTAATCAGTGGCCAGCTGTTTGGTGGCTACTGGGAGATGTGTGTCTCTGGAAGGCACGAGCCCAGGGTGGAGCAGAGAACTGCCCCATGTGGGACCAGCCCCGCAGCCAGGGACAATGCCCAAGGGACATAGGAGTGGGTGGGAGGTCTGCATGTGGAGACAGTCCCTCAGTGGCAGCCTCACCCCCGCTCTGGACAGCAGTTTTGATTTTCTGTTTTAAAAATCCCCGCCCCCCAATAAAATACGTCCACTAGAAGAGTGTCTGGTGGTCAGCACTTGGTGTGAGGAGCGCTTGGTGTGAGGAGCGCTTGGTGGATACGGGCGTGTACCTTCATGGATAAGGATGGTGTCGCTCAGCCAGATCTCTCCTTCCTGACCGGTCCTTCTCAGGAGCTGTCCTCATTCTCAACTGAGCAGGTGGCCCCTCCTGGCCTCTCTCTCAAATTCCTCCCTCCTGAAGGCCCAGGAAGCAGAGACAGGAGCCCTGGAACCTGCCTCTGTGAGGGGACAGCTCCAGGTGGAGTGGGCTGTCAGCTTCGAGGCCTCTTGGGGACCAGCCGTCGCCCCACTCCCCATCCCCGAACAGCAGCAGGGCCCTGGGGAGCTGCTGCCAATCCAGGAGCAGGGAGTGCTGGGCCCAGCAGACACCCTCCGGCTACAGCATCTTCATCTGGCGGCGGCTCCACATGCCTCGCTTGGAATGGAAGTGATGGAAGAAATTCCTGAGGGAGAGACGCTCCACTTCCAGGCCGGCTTGGAGGATCCTGGAGGAGGAGGAGCCGGATGAGCCAACAGAAGCACAGGAGGCACCGGGGGGCCCCTCCACCTCTACCACAGACCCTCTGCTCGCTCCCCACGGGGCAGGGAAGGCAGGTGCAGTGGAAGGGTGTGGGCTTTGAAGCCAGGTGGCCTGGGTTTGGATCCAGCTGCATGGCTGGGTAAGTCATGCCTTCTTTCAGAGCCTGTCTGCTCATCTCCGGGAGGAGGATGATTATCACATACGTGTAATGAGAGGATAACGTGTGATAGAGAATTCTATCGTCACAGTGGACATACTATATACACATCAGAGATGGTGAAGACGAGAAGGATGGATGCTGAGGGCTCAGCACAGCTCCTGGCACACTCTGAGTGCCCCACAACTGGCGCCTCCAGGGGACACGTCGCAGACGGAGGGAGGCAGGGCTGCACCGGGACATCGCCCAGGCCCTCCCCATGCCTCTTCTGCATGCGCGGCCTGCAGGGTGTTCCTCCCACAGGGAGGCCTGCACTTCTGGCAGGGCCGAGAGTGGCCGACCTGGATTCCCGAGCCTCCAAACAGGCAGGAGGTTCAGGGCTGTCCGGGAGCCGTGCATCGCAGCAAAAGCCCAGCACAAACATCAAGGTGGAGGTGACTGCTGGGCCTGGCTTCCCAAATCAAGGCTTCCAGCTGCCTTGGGGGCTCCTTTGATCTAAGACCCTTTTTATGAGATCCCAGTTATCTAAGTTCCTTTAACTTCCCCCTTTTCACCTCAAATTATCTTAGTTTGTCACCCTCCTTTTCTTTCTTCCCTCAACGGGAAAAAACAATAGACCTAGTTTTCAAGCCTCGAACACTTTAGTGAGTGAGATTTGGGGCAAGTTATCAGCTTCTCTTCAAGACTCAGTCTTGTCATCTGGAAAACGGAGATCATGATGCCCACCTCACTGAGATCTGGGGAGAAATAAACAAGGTAACGGATGTGGATGGCCTGCCAAGTGTAGGGACCTGGTACCTGGTGGATGCATCGTCCTGCCTCTCGAGAAGTGAGCGCCTTCGTGTCAAGGTTCTGCCCCCCGTGCTCCTGACCTTGCCCTGTCCACCCTGTAGACGCTGTTCCAGCACTTAGAGCCTTCTGAAGGGCGCCCTCCCTTCTCCTTTGCTCCCTCCTCAAAGGCTCAGATCTCAAGGTGGCATCCTCTCTCTGCCCCTTCTCTTGGCAGCACATTTCTTGAAAAAGGAACCTCACACAGAATGGCGTCCGCCTCCTCAGCACCCATGGCCCGGTGTCCCCGCCCAATCTTGCTCTCCTTGTCCACCTGCCAAGGCAGCAGCTTGTACTCTGTTCTCCTCTGAGGCTTTTCATCTCATGGACCCTTTCCTCCTGCTCCAAACCCCCAGGTCCCCTGGTGTCTCATGACTCGGCACCTCCTGGATATCCTCTTGCCCTTTAGTGGTCTCCGCTGTCTCTTCTGCTGGCCCCAAAGTCTTTCCTGACCTTTGCCAGGTCTGCTTATCCCACAACTCTGGGCTCCCCGCTCGGCAGCTGAGGCAGGTGCGCCCCCTCGGGCCGGGGAGGACGCCGTCTCTCCCACAGTGCCCTGCCTGGTGCTGAGAACATGACGGTTTACGTCTACACTCCATATCCTGCTACACAGTGTACCGGGCATGTTAACTTTCACACCAACCCTGTGACACAGACAGAGGGCGAATCACACCCCTCTAATAGAGAAACTGAGTCCTAGCGAGGCCAGCGATTTGAGGGCGTCCTCCGAGTTCACTGCTCTTTACCACACACTGGGACTCCGCAGCCGAGGGGGACGGCCAGGCTGCTGTAGCCTGGCTGCCTGCCTAGAGCGCCTGAAGGGACGGAATTCCCAGGCCTCGTGGATGCCCTCCTCTTCCCAGTCACCTGTCCAGCAGCTCCCAGTCTTCCCCGCCCCAGCGGTCTCGGAACTCCTTGGTGTTCATGCCCCCAATCCTGTCCAGGTCAGACTTGTAGATGCCA